TGCAGAAGAGTTTTAGCCCAGAGCCCTTAATTCGAATGCTAGTGTCTAGCAGTGAAGGTGTATGACCTACAATTGGTCCTTAACCTCTTTAAGTTTCAGTTTCATCATCTGAAAAAAACACACACAAAAAAAACCCAAAAGGCTACTGTGAAGATTTAAATTAATTTAATGCTATGCTGAAATGCCCAGCATTATATAAATTTGTCATTCCCACACCATCGCCCTTTTTTAATACATGTCTTTATACTACAAACTCCTGGAAGGTTGTTCATAGTTGTGTTGTGCCTACTGAATTAGTATAAAGCGCTTTACACTCATAAGAATTACTTATTATAGTCTGAACTCTGTTATGAACATAAAAAAGAAATGCAATGTCAATTAATTGTTCTGAGCGGCATACAGTTATTACTTTAGTAATCAAAATCCAATTATTATATTACAGTACTAAGATATATCAAACATTTTAAATATGAAATACACAGTAATATATCCTAATATTCTTGCAGCAGTTATTTTATGTTCCCATCTTCATTCACATTTTGGATTGTAGTAATCTATGAAGAAACACTAAAAAAACAAAACAAAACAAAAAACCATAACATTTTTTTAAATCACCTGCAACCTTATACGGCTACTTCGTGTAAGAAATTCCCCTCACTGAAGGTTAGTTTGAAGTTCTCAGTACACATTAGATGCAGCTATAGCAGATATTGAAATAAAACTCCATTAGTCAAAATCAAACACTGCTCTATTTGCATATCTAAGAAGTTCAATTTTCAGAACTGAAAAAAAAAAAAAAATCTAAGCCAAGGAAAAAGCAGTATGAGAAAATATAACCTCAAAATTTACATACTATTTTATTATCCTACAATGACTTTTTTTTCATCTCCCATCCTGCCACATAAAACAATGACCTTTAAATAATCAGAACAAAGTTTCTCACTATTCAGAGGACATTGTTTTAAGACTCACCGGCACTTTAAGTTAACCATCTCAAAGCTTATGAAACAACAAAGGAACAGTCAATGACACATCCATTTAAGTTACCGTGACCTGTCGTTACGGCATCATTAAGTGTTATTTTCAAGGAGTAAGCAGAAAGCTTTATAATTTCTAAACATGTAAAATTATTTTCTGTACTTTATGGGCTAAGGCATTGACTATTTTAAGCTACACTTTATAAATTATGAAGCTCACTAACAATTATTTCTAAAGACAAAGAGCATGAATTAAGTTTTAAAAGCAATAAAGAAACTCAGTAATCAAAATCAAACTCCGTGTACATGTATTTACACACACACACACACACACACGTAATATGATAATCTACAGGTTGGCCGGCTTCAGGTACACAGGAAAAGGTTTCCCAGAAAAAAATGAAAAGTATTAAATACCTACATTTGTGATAAGTTAATTTTCAAATACCAACATTTTTTGGCCTTAGGGATTTAGAGTAAAATACATTCTCTATAGAACATATTCTGCTACCCAACTATAAACTTTTATTAAAAACCAATTCAAAAAGTGTATATAAACATAAACTAATTTATCCAACGCATATCTGTACAACCCCTACTCTAACCAGGCCCTTTGTTGACATGAACATGATTAACTTGCTTCCTGCAGCTCTGCAGGGAAGATGCGTACAAAGTACAAACTGCAGCAACCGAAAGCAAGCCCGCACAGCCCTGCCACTGTGGCTTCGTGCTTATCTGTGGCTGTCTGTAAAAGGTGAGAGAGAGAGGCTAACATAGTTAAGCAAGATAGGGAAGCTAAGTAGCTTTCCCAGTTTCCCACAACGCCTCTTCTTGGTAACTGGGAGTCCATTATTTTGTAGATTATTGTAAATTCCCAAAATAGTGTAAAATCCAAAAAATTTTAAAAATGGGATAGAATTTATTTATTTTTAAAAACTATTTTCTTTCCTTTTTAAAATATGTTTTTATTGATTTCAGAGAGGAAGGGAGGGGAAGAGAGAGAGAAAGAGAGAAACATCAATGATGAGAATCATCCATTGGCTGCCTCCTGGACACTCTCCCCAGTCACCCCCCCACTGAGGATGGAGCCTGCAACCATGGCATGCGCCCTGACTGGGAATCAAACCGTGACCTCCTGGTTCATAGGTCAACGCTCAACCACTGAGCCATGCTAGTCGGGCAAAGTGGAATAGGATTCATAAGTTGCCTTTTTCAGCCAGCCTTATATAAAGATGTGAAGACAGATGGGTAGGGGGAGGTAAGAGAGGGTGAATGGGGAATTAAAAATAAAAACAAGACAGTTGTGAAGACAACTCCAAAGTGATTGAGAGGTTTAAGACTACTGTCCAGCTCTTCTGACTCTTCCCAGCTCGGGTGCCTTACCACACACATTGATCCCACGGTCAATATCAAACCATTATCCGAAGATAATGCTTTTTGGCAATCTGCCCTTTTGAGCAATAGCCAAGGTATGTTCCAGAGAGAAAGAATTTGAGAGTTAAATGTTCCTCAAGTTCTCTAGATCTCCCTTCTCGCTAAGGGAGCCTCCCAGGAACACATGATTAGCAATAAGCAAGAGGTTGATGGACCTGTTTTTGGCCCATCTTCCCTCTTCGCATGTGAACAAAAATCCACTCTGCTTACTGCATCACCTCTTTTTCTTATAATCTGATCAATGTCTTTTCTTCATCTAAGAACCAACAAAGAGAAATCACATTCGCCGACATTAATCACTTCCCTACTTCAGATTCCTATCCTTTCTTCTACTCAGAACATTCTAAATATAGTTCCTGTTCCTGCTGTTTCTCATCTTGCTATCTTTGCAGGCTGTTAAGTTCCAAAGGCATGTTTCTGTTATTTTATTGCATGGTGTGACCATGAACATAGTAATTCTTCCTCCTTCTTTCATGATTAAAATGCGATTCGGACGTGGTAATATATGTGGCAAGCGCTTTGTAAACTGTAAGCTTTTAAGATAAAAGTAGTGCCATCATATTAAAATGGCAACGCATCCCTAATTGCTCAAAACAACACAAGTAAAAAGTTTCCAGGAAATTACAGTCTACATTGGGAATACAACTAAACTTAAAAGAAATTAGTCTTCTGATATAACCCAGGAAGGAAAAACCTATGTACCACTCAACAAATCATAAATTGTATATAAAATAAGTTCAATGAGTGATGTGCTTCTATAAATGCTCAATTTTGGAAAAAATTGCTTTTATAACCTAAATTATTTATTGTTACTTTTAGACACAATTATCAGATGTCTCTTAATACTAAATGATTAAAAAGGACTAGTCTTAAAAGGTCCTCGGAATTAAAGTAAAATTACAGCTTACTTAACTGTCCCTCATTTTCCTGAGAAACTTACTTAGGCATGACACTCAAAAGAAAATTCTTATTTAAGTCAACATCAAAGTAGGTCTAATCACAATGGCTAGTAAAACAAGAGAAAACTCAGTCTCTTAAGCAGCTTAGTTCTAAAGTAAAACATACAGAATAACATTGTGTACTCTCAAATAAACATTCATCTAAGAATGTACACAATCTCAGAAATTAAAACATTGAGGATTGTTGTGTCACTCCTATTTTTATAAGTCAGTGAAGCTTAGTTAAAATGATATTGGACAGAAATAAATGAACATCTTCAGAAGCATTAAGACTACATAAAAAAATAAATAAAAGAAGCATCCCTTTTCATGCCAATAAACACTCACCTTAAATTAAGACAATAAGCACTAGAAAAAAAATACTTTCATGACTCTGCACATGACTGGCTGGTCATCCCTCCTCTGCATGCTCCACCGAAAGCCTTTTACTTTAGCTTTTAGGCCATCTAATAGTGTATCACACAATCTCCAAATAAAAAATGTAATTGAAAAATATCCAGTAGTACCACATTTGTGCTTTCTCTATTCTATGTCCAAAAGCAAGCATTCCTAATACCTATAAATATCCCTTGACATTTTATATGAATATCATTCTAAAAAATGTTAAAGCCATACAAGCAATGGTAATTTAATGTTAGTATGGCATCCTCTTAAAAAATGTCACTTGGTAAAAATTAAAAATACCTTACAGGAACCGAGGAAATAAAGGTAACTCTAGCTGGGTATCTATTATTATGAGTAAACTACTGACATCTCAGGCAAATCTTATATTATCCTTCAAGCTTCAGTTCCTTAGCTTTAAGCAAAAAATTTTAAATGACAAAAAAGCATGCTCTTCGAGCTTCTAGTTTGAAGTAAATATGAAACCACCTTTATTTTCCCTTGGGAGATAAAAATTTTTCCTACATACCGGTATTTGCCCTCAAGCATTGCATTTGTGTCTAAGTACTACCAAGTTAATGGTGCATAGAAATTAGTTCGATAGTTCATAGAATTAGTTCAAAGGTCAAGACTGGCTGGTCATCCCTCCTCTGCATGCTCCACCGAAAGCCTTTTACTCAATCACAGACATCGGTAACACAGTTAGATCTATTTTACAAAAACTTAGATATATTTAAATACCGAGGCAGGTTACAAACAATGCTCGGCAGGCATTTGTGAAATATTCAGTACCAGTTTATTTGTTTTCACTTTCAGCCCTGATGTTGCTCATCCAACTGTAACCTAGCTTTCCATCACTTCTGCTACTTCTTAACAGCATGGAACAAAAAACACAGGAACAAAATTCACATTCAAAGGGGGGGGGGGGGGGGGGAAGATGACATGCTAAAGACCAAAATATTATAATACTATTATCACCCAGTAATCAGAAAGACCAGAAACGTAATTGTGGGCATACGTGATGTCATTGCCAAATCCATGTATGCCCAGGCAAATAACATGCAACAAAGAGTGTCATCTTTTCTCTCAAAATTACACCACCATATGAAGGGGGAAAGGCCCTATTATACAAAAAAATTTTTAAGAATCATAAGCCTATCTACACATACACTAACTCTTCAACTGAAGATTAATCACAACATTCGAATTACCAAGGGAAAAAAACCCCATAATAGAAAGAAAAACTCACTTTATATAGTATCTTGCACCTTCAAAAGTATATGCTTCTTCCCAGCCAGTGGGCAAATCTAAAAAAACATACATTTCACAATTAGTATTACTTCAATGGAATAGCAAAATAAGTCTTAATCCATTTTAATCATTCGTTTTCATGGACAGTTATTTGCATTTCTTAAGTAGGTTTCTAACAAAAAAAAAATGTGTTAGGCTGGTAATAAAACAGAGTAGATATAATATCATTTTTAGGGAAATGGCAATTCAAATCGAAAGCCATCAGAAAAGCAACTCAATATTAATAATCTCTCACTCTATTAGAGATTACCTGATACGATCATATAGTTTAAAGATCAGAATGAAAGGGACTTATGTTGACACCCAAAAACCAAATCTTCTAATCTTAGGTGAAATAACCCTGAGCAGCTGGCAAAAAAACACAAACCAAAAAAAAGCCCTGTCCATAAAAGGTAACACCTGCTTCTTCTTAGGTATTCTGTGTCTATTTAAGGCCATTCCTTTCGGCTATATTAATAAACCCATCCAGGAAGTGTCACTGATGAGAAAGTACTTCCTAAACATAAAATTAGAGGAAAGAAATCGGGACTTCACATACTTATACATGTGTGTTTCTATAGACTTCACTTTAAGAGAATTAAAGTCCCAAGTAATTCAGATGAACCATGGTGACTTTATTGCATATTATTTATAAATGACTAGTAGCTTGGGTTTAATCAGTCTCTCTCGGAAACAAAAAGCACTGACATGTGTACAAAACCAGAATCAAAGCAAAGTAAAACCAAGCCAGAAACAAAAAAGATCATTAAAAAAAAAAAAAAGAATGTGAAATTATCTGAGAATAAAATTTTCCCGTGGTGTCAAAGTTATCAAATCTAAGCGGGTAAATATGGGATGCCCATAACCAAAATAAGCAAGAAAAACAATTCCACAAGACAATTAAGTTAAATAACTTCAAATACTATATCGTCTTCTGAAATAAATGTGTTACTATCCATAGGGCAAAGGGGCCAGCAGCAAAGTTGAAATATCTATGCAAACCATCGAAAGGTTATATTTAAGTCGGAGACTGCTCCGGGGAGTTAAACATGACGGTGTGATTAGTCAGAAATGCCTTTTTAAAAATGTAATCTCATGTTTGCGACGCTAACCTTCCCTTTTCCTCCTCCACCTTTTTGCAAATTTAGAAGACATTAGTCACTTTTGGTGCACTCCGGATTTAATAGAGAAAAGGCAGGTTTGTCCAATAACACCCTGGCCACTTGGGGAGTCACAGAACCCCAGAGTTGAGAGAGAGAGAGAGAGAGAGAGAGAGAGAGAGAGAGAGAGAGAGAGAGAGAAGACAGCTCCCTAAAACACTGCTGGAGCCGGCCTCCCCTCCGACCCAAACTGCTCTCCAGCCTCTCTCCAAACCACCAGCCTGAGAGGCAGGCCAGTGACGAGAACACATGTTCCATTTCAAAGGCAAACAAGTTTCACGAATGTAAACAAAGAATGACAAAAGAAAGCCAGACCGGCACTGGAGCCGCAGCCAGCCCTGCTCCAGCTCCACGCACAAGTGAGCGTGCAAACAAGCTGCCGCCAAAGGCATCGGGGAGAGAGATCTGCTTCCCCGCCGACCCCCTCCAACCGGGGCACAAACGCCCACCCAGGGGGCACCCCCTTGCCCGCCTCCTGGCGGCCGGGGCAGCTTCTGCGCGGCCGCCGGGGACTTTGAATCGGGCCGGCCGGCGACGGCGGCTGCACACGCCTCCTCCTGGGGCAGGAGGGCGAGCCAAGCGCCCGGCGTTTCCAGGGAGCTCGCAGCACCCCCAAACTCCTCTCTCTGCCTTCTCCACCAGCTACCTACCCACAGAGCCCACCGAGGAGAGGAGGAGGAGGAGGAAGAAGAGGAGGAGGAGAGAAGGCCGCCCGCAGGAGGCAGCTCTCCAGGAGGCAGGAGGGGGTGTGAAGACAGGATCCCGCGGACCAGGGCAGGGTCCCGGGCTGCAGGGAGGGGCGCGGGAAAGGACTTCCTAAAGGTTTATTGGGGTTTGGGAAGGGAGTAGAGGGGTTCAGGAGGGGCTGCAGGAGGAACCCCTCCGGGTTCCGGGGAGAGGGGGCTGGTGGATTGGGGGTGTCCAGGTTGGGATGGGGAGAGGGCGCCGTCTCCAAGTGGCGAGGAGAGGCTGCGGGGCAGAGGGGCGCCCGGACACCGGGGAGGATGCGGGGCCGCGGCGCGGGGCAGGTTGCCGGGGGGCGGGCGGGCGGGCGGCCGGGCTCTGCCGCCTCCTCCTCCCGGCGGAGCCCAACTCCGCTCGGGCCCGGCGGCCGGGGTTACCTGTGCTCTGGCGCCGGTGGCCGGTGACCACGGCCTCGCCGGTGACGGGGTGCAGCCAGGTGGTGCTCTTGGCCTCCTCGCTGCGGGGGGACAGAGAGAGGGGCAGAGCCCGGGCGTGAGCGGGGGGCGCGGAGCCCCGGGGGGACCGGGGCGGCGCAGACCCCGCTCGCCCTCCGCCCCACACCCCGCACCCGTCCCCGCCAGCCCGCCGGGCCCCCGCGCCGCCCCCCGGCTCTTTACTTGATGAAGAAGACGCGGCCGCCCCTGGTGATCCCGTAGGTCCAGGAGCGGGGCAGGGAGCAGACCCACTCCAGGTTCAGATCCGCCGCCATGTCTGATCCCCAGCCGCCGCCGCCGCCGCCGCCGCCGCCGCCTTCTCCGGGAGGAGGGAGCGAGCGAGAGAGCGAGGGAGCGCGGAGCGAGCGCGGCCGGAGCGCGCGCCCCAGCCCGGCGCGCCCCCGCGCTACCCCCTCGGGCGGCGCCCGCCCCGCCGCCGCCGCCGCCGCTGGGTCCGGCCCCTCCGCATCCCCGCGGCCCCGGCCGCCCCGCCGCGCGCGCTCGGGGGCAGAGCCGGAGGGCGGCGCCGCGCGCGCGCCCAGCCCCCTCCCTCCCGCGCCCCGGGCGCCCCCGCCCCCCGCGCCGGGCGCAGGTTCCGGGATCGATGGGGAGAAGCAGCCGGGACCGCGCTCTGCCCCCGGGGCTGCGCCCCAGGCTGCCCGGCCCGGCGCGCGCGGGGAGGGGAGCGCGAGCCCCGCGGTCCCCGCGCTCCGGAGGGCACTCAGTTCCAGCAACAAAAGCCCGGCGCTGGGGCTTTGTTTTAGAAGACCCGTTGGCTCCCAGAGAGATTTTTTCCCCCCTATCGTGTATGTGTGTGTGTCTGGAAAATAGAAAAGCTGTTTTCATGAAAGCACTCGGGAGGCTTTTCCTGTTGTGTGTGTTTTGTGCGCCAGATTATATCCAAGGTTGGATGAGTGATCAGATCGGTGAACTGTAAGTGGATTCAGACTTGGAGAAAAAAAAACAGATGTGCCCCTTCCCAGGCCCCTTCCATCATGGAATGTCTTATAAAATAAAAACTTGCTTTTTCTCTTACATTAAAAAAAAAAAAAAAAGATTCACTGTTTGTCAATCTGGATTTCCACTTTTTCTTATCTCCCATAAATTACAATAAAAGCTCATTCTGCAGAGTCCTTGAAAGGGTGTAAGTTTTAAATCCCCATATCAGCCCTACAGATGCTATCATAATGCCCATTTTCTGAATGGGGGGAAAATGAGGTGGATAGAAACAGCAACTTGCCCAAGGTCGTAGTAGTGAGTGGCAAAGCCTGAATTTGGTATTTAGGCTCCAGTATTTCAAAAGTCTTATTTGTACAACCACACTGCTATAGTACTTATTTTTAAAATCTTGTTTACCCCCTCTGCTCCCCCACCCCCACCCCTTATATGTTCTTTGAACAGAGAAGGACAGATTTCACTGCAAATCAGATCTTCTCCCTTAACTTAGGAATACTTGCCTCTTCTTATTGTGTCTGGTCCACCGCCACCCTTGGAATTGTTATGCATCTTTGCAGCAAGATGACTCATTCCAGCACGATCCACCATTCAATAATAATAGTACTCCTGAACTTGGTATTCTTACAGCACCTTTTTTCTCACCAGTTTTGGGTGCCCCCAAAGCGTTATCTCATGCAGCTTCCCCGTAGTTCAAAGAGGCCAATAATCTTTTTCAGTATGTAAGGAAACTAAGGCCCAGAAAGGGTAAATAACCTTGGCCAAAGCTATAGCCAGCAAGTCAGGCGGGGCCTGGATGAGAATGCAGTTTTAAGGACGTTTTCTCTCCTACTCTAATTCCCCAAGGTCATCTGTCTTTGGTGAAAAGAAGTCTGCAATTACTGCTACAATTTTCCTGTCTATCTGCATATACCGGGAGGGGGAAAAAAAATAAGGTCACTTTAATATTTTCTCTTTGGGTTTCTTTGCATTCCCCTCTTTCATTTCACTACTGATTACTTCTTGACATCTTATCTCCTGCCCACTTTGTGGAAAAGAAAAAGACTCTTTTTTTTCTTCTTCTTAAATCAATGAATAACTAGCAGGAAATGTCCCATATTACCATCAGGGTTCACTAGCTAGAGCATAGCAAGAAAATCAAGAGCTATTGACTTGATATTGTGCTATAATTACAAATTTAAAAAATCTAAAGCAAATCTTTTTTTAAAAAAATATATCTTTATTGATTTCAGAGAAAAAGGGAGAGGGAGATAGAAACATCAATGATGAGAGGGAATCATTGATCGGCTGCCTCCTGCGTGTCTCCAACTGGGGGTCAAGTCCACAAATTGAGCATATATCCTTGACCAGAATCAAACCTGGAACCCTTCAGTCAATAGGCTGACTGCTCTATCCACTGAGCCAAACTGGTTAGGGCTTTAGAAATGTTTTATCTCTTAGTTCAGCTATAATATTTGACTTAAAAAAAAAAAAATATATATATATATATATATCTCCACTGAGCCAAACCAGTTTCAGCAATATTTAACTTTTTGACTGTGTGTTGCTGAGAAGTCTTTAAGTCGACCATATGTTGTATGGGAATTCCTTTTAGCTGTGAATCTTTGAATTTTTAAGACTCATTAGTGCAAGGAATATTTCAAAAAGTGATAGAGATTCACTTAATAAAACATGTAACTTAGGAAACTGCACTTGCAGTGCTTATATGGTAATCTAAAATCTTAAGTACAATTCTAGATATATTTCCAAAATTTAGGAAAAGCAGTAAACAAAATACATAGGGACTTTATATACACAATGAGGCATGCTTTTGGGTTGGGGAAATGATAGTCCTTGTGGCTTCCAGGAACTAATAAAAGTAGCTTCATGGATGAGAATGTCAGGCATTCTGGATAATTTTCACCCTTAATGAGTAAAATTGCATTTTTCTTAAATTTTTTTTCTAAATTTCCTTTTTCTATAAACATAGTACCTTATCCTGGTTTGCTTTACCCTCCAGTTAAGTGTATATGTGTGTCTCCATCACTGTAGGCGGCTAGAGAACATGTCTTCCTCATCCCTGAATCCTTCTCAACCTTGGGTCAGTACTTGAGCAATTATTGAATTTCATTTTCTTCCCATGCCTCAGCCTCCCAACAGAGTTTTTTCCAAATAACACATCCCATTTTTATCGCCCCACACCTTTTCAATAACTGACTCAGACCTAAACCATATCTAACCTCTGCTTTTTATTGCATTTTGTTCATATGTCCATCCTACAAGACTCTTCAGTTTCTGGTATCCTGATCTGCCTTTTTGAGGTGTATTATGACAATTGCAGCTCCTTTGAAAAAAAAAAGAAGAGGCTTAAAAAGTACTAAAAATAGACATAAAAATAAACATCACTCTATTCATCTATAGAGGGCAATCCTTGTTCTAAAAAGCTTCCAGTTCAAATATTACAGATAAATACACACGGGGACAAGAAAAACTCAAAAGAAAGTTTCTTAAAATATGAAAAAGAAAACAGAATTGGGTGACATCTAAGGAAATAGCAAATCAATGCTCCCCCCACCCCCCCTTTTAAAAGGAACGAAAAAAGCATGAACTCTATATAGTGGAAAAAGAGACTTTAAAAATATATATATTTTATTGACTTTTTACAGAGAGGAAAGGAGAGAGATAGAGAGCTAGAAACGTCGATGAGAGAGAAACATCGACCAGCTGCCTCCTGCACACCCCCCACCGGGGATGTGCCCACAACCAACGCAAATGCCCTTGACCGGAATCGAACCTGGGACCCTTCAGTCCACAGACCAATGCTCCACGACTGAGCCAAACCAGTTTCCACAAAAAGAGACTTATAAGAGAAAAAAGCATATATAAAGAAACATCTTAATTCATAAACATAAATGTTTATTAAGATCTATCAACAAAGTGTTGTGACTTTGATTAGGTTGTGTTACGTTATATATTTTGTTCGTTATCTGTTCACAAAATAAAGAATATCATACACACTTTCTTTAGTCAATTGTAGAGTATTATATATCATGAAAAGATATCAGGATGGGCAAAGTAGAGGATCCAATTACCTTAGTGGAAATCTAGACAGAAGGGATGGAGCTTGAGAGTCTATGACAGGGAAAACAATAATGTGTGGAAATCAATTTATTAGGGATTTCCCTCTCTCTCTCTCTCTCTCTCTCTCTCTCTCTCTCTCTCTCTCTCTCTCTCTCTCTCTCTCTCTTTTTCCTGTTAAAGAATAAACTGACTAGCCCTGGTTCAGTGTGACTCAGTTGGTGGAGTATGTCACATGCACTGAAAGGTTTCAGGTTCCATTCAGTCAGGACACATACCTAGCTTTCAGGTTTGAAACCTCGAGTCAAGGATCAATGTTTCTCTCTCATATCAATTTCTCTCTCTCTCTCTCATCTCTCCTCCCCCCTCCTTCTCTCACTTCTTCTCTAAAATCAATTTTAAAAAATATATTTTTAAAAAGAATAAACTTATCAGAGAGTTATGAATAATTTCATTCATTCTTTCAACCATCATATATAGGACCCCTACTGCATGCCATACATTCTTCTGGGTATAAGGATGAAAAGATTTGCCCTGCTTCGGGTAGCTTAGAAAATGGAGATGTAGATATTTAAGGGGAAGTGGCATCTCTTTCCTTGTCATAGAAATAAATCTTCCATACCACTCGTTTTCAAGCTTGTTCTTTGAACCACTCAAGGCCTGTCTCAATCTAGTCTTTTAATATTGATTTTTGGAGAGCTCTTCAATTATGGATGGGGTCATTGAAAGGAATATGTAGCAGCCCTAGTTATTCTGCCGCTGGCTGATCCCTCTGCTATGCTGGGGGGTCTAGACTGAGTTGGCACCTCTCTCAAGTCTTGAAAATAAGAAGGGAGGAGATAGTTCACAAATGTCTTCCAGGAACTTACATCTGAACCCTCGGAGATGTTCAAATTAAACACCTCTTCTCTTACCCCAGTCAGCAAGGCTCCAGGCATCTGCATCCCTGTCTTTGCTGTAAAAGACCCAAATTCAAACTATAGAGAATTAAGAAAAGAAATATGTTATAATGTAGGGGTAGGCGACTGGATGCAGGGGCGTGGGGGTTGGCATTCTGTCAGGAGTCTGACTAAATTTTATATCTGGCTTTGCCATTAATTAGCTGTATGACTCTGAACAAATCATTTAGCCTCCATTCCCATTCAAACCTCTGGATCCTCATATGTAAAGTAAGTGCAGTGATCTACTTAAGACATCACATAGGATTCTTTTCCCCTCTAAGCCTTCTGCTTTTATGGGGTGAGCGCTCCAATGACTAAAATTGGGGATGTTTTGCCACGGTGTACACAAAGTGAGATGCCTGCTGCATAGAACTGATTAGGATTATCTGCCACTTAATTTGTTAATAGAAGAGTTTTGAAGCATAATTTACAACAATTGTTCACATGCAATATCATA